CATCAAGAAACGAATCTGGAGGACCAGTGACTAGAACCTGAATGTCGTCGGCAAACGCATGACAAACAAAATCCATGAGAGGAAATTATTTTGATTATATCTGCTGTATACAAAATAAAGAGAATTGGTCCCAGAACTGAGCCTTGTGGCACACCTGTTTTTACCAAGGCAACATCAGACACTGAATTGTTAAACGAAACCTGCTGTGTTCGGTTTGTCAAATACGACCTGAACCATTTATGAGCTGTGACTGTAATACCATAATCGTTACGTTGTCTTGCCAGCAAAACATTATGGTTTACACAATCAAATGCTGCTGACATGTCTAAAAACAATAACAACGATAAGTTCAGGACGTCCATTGCCGAAAACAAACCAGACAAAACATGTAACAATGCTCTTTCAGTAGAATGGAACTGCCTATAACCGGATTGATTACAAGGCAGTCGGTTATTTTCAGATGAAAACTTCAAAAAACTTTTAACCACTACACGTTCCAAAATTTTTAAAATGAATGGAAGATTCTATATCGGTCTGTAATTATTAACATCATTTACATCACAACATGTTTTCACTATATATATATGCAATTTGTTTAATTATTTAATTTTTGTTTGCTTTTATACTTTTATAGAGAACGTAAATACTACTTTACTTCACTACGTTCCCCAAATTTTACAAATGCAAATAAACGTAAAACGCTGCAAGTTTGGGCTTCTGTGAGAAGAGTGATTTGAAAGTTTGCTGTTGTTGATGAGTTGATGAGTTGTAAGGCAAATATTTTTTCAGAATTAATTTGAATTAATCTGAAATATTTGCACATTCAAATAAACATACTTCTTGCAAACTAAAAACGTACAAATACCCTGAGTCACTTTTTCTTGTACTAATCTTTTGATGTCTGCAGCATACCATGATGAAATTATGTGCAGGACCATACAAGCGTACGCAACTGATGCCACACAAACATCCAAACAAATAAGATTTATAATTGTATACAACTGTTCCAACAAACTCACTGACGTAACTATTCGAAACTTAACTCCAACAAAACTCGCAACACCAAAATGACTCCAGACGCACAAGACCAATTTGACCTTTAATCTTTATAACAAGGTTGCAATATAAAACAGAACAATGTAAACATGAGTGTATTATCTTATACATGCATACGTTAAAATCAGATATATTGCAAATTCAAAATAATGAGAATTCAGATCCAATTATATATTTTGTTATTTTAAAAATTGAAAATTTCATGTCAAATGTTGTTGGTGTTGGTATTGTTTGTTGTGGTGGCGTTGTTTGTTGTTGTTGGCGGTGTTGTTTGTTGTTGTTGTTGGCGGTGTTGTTTGTTGTTGCCGTTTGTTGTTGTTGGTGGTTTTGTTGGCATTGTTTGTTGTTGTTGGTGGTTGTTTGTCTGTTGTTGGTATTGTTTGTTGTGGATGCAGTTTGAACACCACCCGGCTGGAATTTTATGCCGTTTAATGAAATGATGATTGGCGACAGTGATGATTTCAGATGAACTTTTAAACATTCTTTATCATATTTTTTTACATTCAGCTTACCTTCCTTAAAATTTTAATTCACAGTTCATGTTTTCATTCTCACCTATTTCCGGCTCTGAAGTAGCACTTGTTTTAACAACCAACAGACACAATAAAATTTTTCAATCATTGAAGTCATCTAACAAATTCAAATATCATCAACAATTTGGCTTAGTTGAAAATTTAAAAAACTTCTCGATTTAATATGGGGCGTGTGTGCGTTGTGCGTGTGTGCGCGTGTGTGCACCGGTGTGCGTGTACGGCAAGATTTATACAATGTGGATTTGCATTGCTATCTTATTAAGATGGCCTCACTGCGTCTTGTTGTGCATCCGCAATAAAATGACCAGCAGAAGTTTATGTCCAGCTGTTCCGTACTGCCTGGCTTCTGCACCATTTCTTCGAGATTAAGGTTTAAGTGTCTGTGCAAGGTAGGAAGGCTATGTGGTGGGGATGATGATGATGTGGTGGTGGTGATGATGATGGCGATGTTGTGTTGGTGATGATGATGATGTTAACGATAACTGGGATGAAGGTGATAATAAAAGCCCTACAAATTTGTAACTTATTTTAATGCTGGTATGACTGAGATGGTTTTTTCTTTTTCTTATTATTATTATTAAATGGCATTGATGATAACCATAACATCAGAGATGGTAATGATAATTTAGAGAATAATTATATTGAGGAGATTATTGTTGCAACCACAAACGGTGATAATTTTTTTTTATTATTCTTTAGCAAATCAGAATCTGACAAACGCAAAACAGTTACAGCTTGTATGGTGATCGTATAAAATGATAACGAAAAATAAATTACGGAAAAAATGTTTAAGCATGAAAAGTATGGAAAATGAAATAAAGAAATGGTTTAAAAAGACAAATAAATAAAATAATTAATTAATTAATAGACTACTTAATGACTTAGTGAGTAAGTTAAGTGATCGATAAGAAAAAAGAATAGACAAAATTGGTAAATGACGAAGTTTTAATGGGTACTAATATGTTTAAGGGGTCTTGTGATGAAGATCTTATCCTGATATGTTGATTGAGTGACGACTTGATCTCGCGTTGTGCTCGCGTTGACGAAGGTTGTGTTTTGTAGTTCTGATTGGTGGTAGTACAGGATGGATGACGTGGTTGTTGAACAGTCTTGAATCGAGTATGTTGAATATCTGAGTGACGGTAGGATATGATGCAGGTAGATAGTTGAGGCGGATTAGTTTTTTGATGAGAGTTGTAGTTGCTGAAGTTGTTGTTGCGTAGCAAAACCAGACCAGGAGGGAGCTACAGAGATGAGTGATGTCAGCGTATCTGATGTTTTGATTAAAGCTATGAAAAGTTTTGAGAGTAGAAGCATTGATGATAAAAGTAGATGGTTCAAAGACAGAACCTTGAACTACGCTAGAATTAATAGGTAGATTAGATGAAAGAGTAGAGCTAAAGAAGGTAGAATGACTCCTATTAAAAAGAAAATTTATTATAAAATTGTAAATGTTGTCAGGTAGACGAAAAGAGGCTAACTTATTTGAAAGTGAGAAGTGATTGAGAGTGTCAAAAGTTTTAGAAAAGTCGAGGGCAATAAGATGAACATAATTATTATTTTTAAGAAAAGATGTTATAGAAGTAAGAGAGATGATGGCGGATGTAGATGAACCCGTAGGGCGAAATGCAAACTGATCTTGTAATAGTGGTTTGATGGATGGATGGTTGAAACATGGATGAATAACCTATGATTTTTCTGGAATACGTGAAAGTATTGGGGTGACAGATATTGGGCGCTAATCTATTAGTGATGATGGGTGTTTGTTTTATGAATTGGATGTACTGTGCAGAATTTTCACTGTGATGGGCAGTGATTGCAGAGCGAACTTGAGGTGGATGCTGCTGATGATGATGTTGCTGAAGATAATGAAGTTCAAGAATAATAAAAAATGTTGGCGACGACAAAAAAATTTTAAAATTTGTTTGCGATATTTGAGTTGACTAATCCAAACAGCGAACAACAACCTTATCTAAGAAATGATGATGATGATGATGATGATGGCTCTCGTGTGCACTGTGGAAGATTAGTTAAGGAAAAAAAATTGTTTCTGGACGATGATGATGATGATGTTGATGATAATGATGATGATGTTGTTGTTGATGATAGTGATGATGATGTTGATAATGGTGACGTTAGTTGACAGCAAGAGCAACAATGGCGATGATCGTGCTAATTGTGCTTGCATGTTGGTGATTCTATTGAAGGTCGGGATTTGTCATTTTTCTCCGCAACATTTGGGAAACATGCAAAAACAGGCAGCCATGCACATCACAATAACATGTCATCTCTTTCTGCGTTCGAACCCGGTTACTGCGAAACAGGAGGTGGCTCTTTTAACTATTGAGCCACTACGCCGCCAACATTATCAAAGGATAATGACAACAAAGTATAGGCTGTTGAATGTTGATGTTTACATTTTGATCAGCATCACTATCCTTAAGACCAGAATCATTATTATTGTTAACGGCATCAACCACAATATAACTACATTAAGTCTCATGATCTATCATTCTTGCATTTGACACCAAACATATCATTATCATCAAATCGACATCATTATCATCATGCTATAAACATTATATCATCATTATCATTTCATAATTTCGTCATCGTTATTATCATTTTATCATCATCATTATCACCATCATTCTCATACCGACACCCTCGTCATTATCGTTTCTACACTTCACTTCTTAGTAAGTGAAAGCCATTTTGATGACGATGAAATTACTCATCATCACCATCATCATCACCATTCATAATGCCATCATTTTTCATCATCACTATAATCAATAAAATCTTCGATATCATCTTTGCGTGCTTTGTGTCAGGTAGGCAGACAGTGGGATGATGATGTTGAAGATGATGATGATGTTGAAGATGATGATGATGTTATTGAAAAAGATGATGTTGTTTAAGATGATGATAATGTTTAAGATGATGATGATGTTGAAGATGATGATGATGTTGAAGATGATGATGAGAAAGATGAAAAAGATAAGGATGATGATGACCGTGTTGTTAATGATGATGGTGATGATGTACTATGATTGTGACGATGATGATGATAAATGCTGTGAAGATGATCATTTTTGATGATTACGATCATAATCCACACCTTCATGTTATCATTAACGTCATTATATTATCATCATTATCATCATTATCACAATCGTCATCACCATCGTTGTCATCATCATCACCATCGTCATCATCATCACTATCATCATCATGCTGTTATCGTCCTCATCATCTTTTGTAGTTTTCATCTTTATCATTTTCATCATCAGCAGCATAATAGACATCATCATCAACACAATCGCCCACAATAACAACATCATCATTATCATCATCATCATCATCAATAACATCATCATCATCATCATCATCATCCACACTTTGGTGCAGTTCAAGCGAATACTGAGCAGAGAGTTGAACCAATTTTCAGAGACTGGAAGTTCAGCCAGTGAAGTATCTGAGTACATCAACAGTACATTCCTAGGTTCGTGCTGATGATAATACCATAGTGATGATGATGATGCGTTGATGGAGATGATGATGATGCCGTGGTGATGATGATGATACCGTGGTGGTGATGATGGTGAAGAATGTAACAGTTGTGATGATATTCATAGTGTGGATTTCGTGATTGGTGGAGGTGAGGTGATGATGATGATGATGACGACGACGAGGAGGTTAGAAAAATGTTAAATGCAGAAGCGTGCGCGTTCCGCACAGAGCAAACAGTGACTGCATTAAATTAATTGCAACTACGATGACTTCATTCCTCCCCCGACATCCGTTTCCCTTTCATAATGATCGCCATTTTCGAATTCTTTTATCATTATTTTTATCATTTTCATTTTATTATCATTTTATTGTTTCATTGTCGCTAAGTTATCTAACTCAACACTAACCTCATCACTTCACCCAATATCAAATTCGGAAGTTTGCTACTACCGTTAAAAATTGTTTCAATATCATCATCATTACCAACACTTTCAGGCATCGTCGTCATCATTCTACACTTATTCCCGCCATTGAAATTTGTGATCATTTAATTATCATTATCAACATCATTCTTGACATTCCACGGCCTTCAGCTTCATTATCAACATCATCATTGATAACATCATTACGAAAATCGGTGTTTGACTAACATTATAGTCATGCACTTGAACAGCTGAAGAATGAACCATGCAACCAGCAAACATGCAGCCATGCAACCAGCAACCATGCACATGCAGCCAGCAACCATGCAACCAGCACACATTCACTCGACACACCTGCTCTTCTGATCAAATCATTTTTATCATCATTTTAAACAAATAAGTCTAAGCTTAATATTAATGATTCTATAAAAAAAAATATAATAATAAAAATAATAATTGTTTTCATTATTTTTACAATATTGTTACAATTGTTTTAGAAAAGAAACCTAATTTTATTTGACAGTGGCGTAAACGTTGATAAGGCAAATCAAGTTATATCATTATTATCAAATATAAGCATCAGGCCTGTAGCCAGGTAGCAATATAGCCAGGTAGCAAGGTAGCCATGTACCTAAGTAGCCATGTAGCTAGGTAACTAGGTAGCAAGGTAGCTAGGTAGCTAAGTTGTAAGGTAGCCAGGTAGCGAAAAAGCAAGGTAGCCAGGTACGAGGTATCAAAGTAACAGGTAGCAAGGTGGCAAAATAGCCAGGTAGCTAAATAACCAGGAAGCAAAGTAGCCAGGTAGTAAGGTAGCCAGGTAGCTAAGTAGCCAAGTACGAGGTATCAAAGTAGCCAAGTAACAAAATAGCCGGGTAGCTAAGTAACCAGGTAGCAAGATAGCCAGGTAGCAAGTTAGCCAGGTAGAAAGGTAGCCATGTAGCTAGGTAGCCATGTAGCTAGGTAACTAGGTAGCAAGGTAGCTAGGTAGCTAAGTTGTAATGTAGCCAGGTAGCGAAAAAGCAAGGTAGCCAGATACGAGGTATCAAAGTAACAGGTAGCAAGGTGGCAAAATAGCCAGGTAGCTAAATAACCAGGAAGCAAAGTAGCCAGGTAGTAAGATAGCCAGGTAGCCACGTAGCCAAGTACAAAATATCAAAGTAGCCAAGTAGCAAAATAGCCAGGTAGCTAAGTAACCAGGTAGCAAGATAGCCAGGTAGCAAGTTAGCCAGGTAGCAAGGTAGCCATGTAGCTAGGTAGCCATGTAGCTAGGTAACTAGGTAGCAAGGTAGCCAGGTAGCAAGGTAGCTAGGTAGCTAAGTTGCAAGGTAGCCAGGTAGCGAAAAAGCAAGGTAGCCAGGTACGAGGTATCAAAGTAACAGGTAGCAAGGTGGCAAAATAGCCAGGTAGCTAAATAACCAGGAAGCAAAGTAGCCAAGTAGTAAGGTAGCCAGGTAGCCACGTAGCCAAGTACGAGGTATCAAAGTAGCCAAGTAGCAAAATAGCCAGGTAGCTAAGTAACCAGGTAGCAAAGTAGTCAGGTAGCCAGGGGTGCAAGTGGAGCTCTACCTCCTCAAAAATATTTACACGCAGTATTCAATTCATCACGCAAACAACTATGCCAAATATTCAAACTAAAATCTATCTTATACAAAAAATACGAAAAATGTTACTAAAAGTTTTGATTCAGTTATTAAAATTTACTAATTCAAAAAATTGAAACATTTTAAATTTCAAAACAGAGCGAACACATGCCTTTCCAACCGCTCTTTTACATCCACAATTAAACCTTTTTTAAGCAACAAAATATTTTTTGGTGTATATAAAACAGATATAAAAATCACGTTAAATAGATTATAATTTGTTACATTATGTTATTTCTATAAAAAAATTCGCACTTTTTTTTTGAGCTGCGTAATGGTCTAATGGTTAGAGGCGCTGGTCCTGCTTGCAATGAGTGACTGGCTTCGATTCCCAAGACATCTCTGTCTCTCGCATGCAATGAATTTGACGCAAGCTCTCACGCGTATTCATGTTTGCTGGGATTGCGGTGTTGTCAGTTCCTCTGAAACTTATTTGAAAGAGAATGATCTTTTTAACCCTTTCTTCTTCGTTAAATCTGAAACCTCATCTGAAGCCTGATGGTTAAGAGGATGTTCTTCATGCATTCAACAACAGAAAAGAAGTGCACAATAAAAAAAAATAAAACATTAATATTGAAATATTAGCCATATCAATCATTTCTCAAACATTTTTACGCTTATGCTTATTGTGGCAGTTTTGCACAGACAGTTCGAAGGAGTTTTTTGAAATTGAAAAAATTAAAGACTTCATGAGGAAAAAACATGTCATTTCTTTAACTTTGCAATCAATTAGAAATTATCCGAAAGGGGTTGAAAAGTTAAAATATTATATGCCGCATCACTCACAAACCCTACATCCACTGCGAAACAAGGCCAGGTGTTTTTAACCACCAGGCCATCACGCTACCAAATCAATTTAATCAAATAAATTATTCTGAAAATCACTTAAAATTAAGTCTATATAGGTAATTGAAGTCTTATGGATGTGATCAATTAATATCAAGAAATCATTGAATGTTTTAAAATTTTAAATTATTTTGTTGTGTTTCAATTGTTTTATGTTAAAAAAACTATGGAGAGCTTTAATTATCTTCATGAAAAATGAAGATAATTAAAAAAGTTATTTACAGCAAATTTTATATTTTAATATTAATAATAATAAGCAACATCACTATTATTATTTCTTTGCCAAAATCACCAACACTGTTTCAAAAAGCGAACTTCGATATGTACAGACAAACACAAAGAAGATCAACTTCCGTCGGAAACGGATGCAAATGAATATCACGTGACCCATGTCACATCTTCTGATGGAGCTAGACTATCTGGTAGCAGTAGTAGCAGCAACAACAACAACCAAGAAGTAAAAACCAAACGCAGAAGCACTGGCAGCATTTGTGATGGAGACAACGATGAAGCAACGATGGCAACTACAAAAACACCAACATCATTAACAGCAAAAAACTCACCAAAGATCCACGTCACCAATAGAGTCAACAGACTCAAACAAAACATTAGAAACAACACCTCCACGGCAACAACCTCCACGGCTACTTCTTGCAGCAACAACAGCAGTGGCAGCAGTGGCAGCTCTGCGCAGGTTGACCATTGCAAGAACTGTCTATACGGAAGCCACAAACATTTGTGGGTGGTCAGTCGTCATCTGAAGGCTCCTCTTATCGTTCCTATCAGTTGCGACAAATCTGATGATACTAACAAGCAGTTGCTCGAATGGCTGGCTGGATCAAATGTTGCCAGGCCAGCTGCAGTAGATGGAGCAGCTGGTTCCATTTCAACTGGTGCTAATAAAATTCAGGCCGTTAGTTAATTTTCAATTTACATTGCATTCCCATAGTACAAAAATATAAGTAGTTTGAATATATGAATATTAACAAGATTTTACAACACGCATCCGATTGGTCGTTTGACATATTTCGCCTGGCTGACGTCACAAACGACCGCCCACTACTTATTTTGACTAGTTATTTATTTCAGGTGAGTAGGAAAATATGCAATATGCATTGTTTTAAAATTTCAAATAAGAAATGAACATCGTTACAAGAATGAAACTACATTTTTTCAATATAAAAACATTCGTAGAAGCACAATTTGTTGAAAGCGTTGAACATCTCGTCAACATTGTTGCACAACTTCATCAACAGCGTTGAACAGAATTACAATCGAAAGAACCCCTACCACAACAACATACACGCCGCTGATGTCCTCCAAACTATCTACTTCCTCACACAAACACCTTCCATAAAGGTTTGTACTAACACAACTACACACAATTATATATATATATATATATACATATATATATATATATATATATATATATATATATATATATATATGAATGGGTTCTTAAACCTTGTAACAACGAGATGTTGTTCTTACCTATTTGTCGCGACACTTCAATTTGAGTTTCTTGGTTACAATAATTAAGTTGTGTTATCTTAAACCTTATTCGGCAGGCTACTGACGAGTCTCGTGAGAGACGAAACGTACGTCTGGCCTATGGCGGGTAATGGTTTACCAATAATATATATATATATATATATATAATATATATAATATATATATATATATATATATATATACACAGCAGACATTCTATGAATTGATATGAGCGATGTTTTTGTACTCCTTTAATATCTTAGAACCATATTCATTGTTTTTTGTTCTAGTATTCTAGTAATGTTTGCGAATTCAATTTAGATTAATTTCATTGGAATCGGAATTATCGTTGTATGGAACAAAGAATAAATTTCTCTTTTAAAATTTTATTTTTGACAATTATACCATGCTGACCATGTATTATTACTTTCCGTTATCTAAATAAATGATTAAGTGGCTGTTTTTCATAAATATATAGCATACAAACACCTTTTAAGCAATACAAATATTTTTTCAGAACAAATTCTATATAACGTAATTTTTATATAACGAATTTTTTTCTGAAACCATCGAAATCATGTCCGACTTTATATATATATATATATTATATATATATATATATATATATATGTGTGTGTGTGTGTGTTTGTGTGTGTGGTGTGTGTGTGTTATTTCTGTGTGCGTATGTATGTATTCAATATGTTTGCTTGTAAAAGATGTGTGTGTGGTGTATTTATGTGTGTGTTGTTTGTGTGTGTATTTGTGTGTGTATGTTAATATTTACTTTTTTTAAGAATTCAAAGATGTGTCATAATTATTGTAAGGTAATTTTTTTGTTTGGTTCGTGTGTCTTTTTTGCAAAAACAGCTGTTTTTTTACTCAATTTTTGTTTCATCAGCGTTTGTTTGTGAACAAATTTTTTTCTATTTTCCGAACGAAGAAAAAATAGAACTGATTGCATGTTTGCTTACATTCTGTCATCATTACACAGACTGGGACGCGTATTGACATTTGTCTTCATTCATTTCAGTTAACATCTTTTCATTCTTCCCCATCTTTTCGTCATCAGCAGTCATCTTAGAATTGCAATGTTTAAATGTTTACTATGATATTATAATACAATTTCTATTACCAGTATTGTAATTTTTTGATTTGTATAATTTCCATCATACTTTTTGTATCATCATCAACATCACCGTCATCATCATCATCATCATATCTTTTTCATCTACTCACAATCATCATCACCATCACATTCTTCGTCGTTTTTTTTCTATTGAACAACCACATAACTCTTTTTTTTCTTTCTCACCACAGGACAGCCTGACGGACATGGACCTCATCGCCACATTTGTAGCCGCCGCAATACATGATGTTGACCACCCTGGCGTTACCAATCAGTACCTCGTCAATTCAGGTTTTTGTGTATATTTTTTCTCATCTACCTTGGCAATTTATATTTTATTATTTTACTTTGGAAGAAGGCTGGCTGTACATTAAAAACTTTACACAATTTCTCAGAAAGTTGGCGCAAATTAACTAAGCGTCCTGAAAGACTGCAATAATTTCCGACGATTGATAGCACTATTTTCTCACCTGTGTAAGTGGATTACAAAAAGTAGAAAACAACTGAGGGGTGACTAAGGAGGTTTCATAAAATGAAACCTCCTTAGTATAGTCCAACAAATTGTGATGTTTTTGATGGAAGAGACAGAAAGTTGGACAGACGATTTACCTTTTTTAGATTAAAGTTTTCAAATCAGAATGGCATGAAAAACAGTGGGCGACTCTGGAAGGTATGGAAGTATCAGAAAACTGGTTAAGTTACAAATTTAAAATGTTGAAAACTGAGAAACAAAAGAACTAATTGTCCTTAGCTACATTGCTAAGCTAATTTTACTTTGTTATTTTACATAATCCTTATTTCCAAGTTGTTCATTTTCATGTCATGCTATGTTAGATTATTTTGAAAAAAACATTTTTTTAAAATTGTTTATTTTAATCAAGAATTATAAATTCATTTGTTAACAAATATCTGGGAAAGATGAGTTTTTGTGCAACACACTTTCTAGATTGGCGTCTAGAGTTGATGGATGTTGCTTAGAATTTTAATTTAAAAAAATCCGATTTGAACTTGCGTAATTCTATGTCAAATTAATTACATTTTTATGTTTTATTATTCAAATAATTTTTATTCAAACAAAAAATCATTTTAAAAATACTGTGCTTGATGCAAATTTTTAAAATTGAAAAACTTTAACTATGTAAATTTACATAAGTTTCCTTGGTAAATTACAATTATTGATTATTTTCTTGCTCCAGTTATTTGTAGTATAGTATTTTTACAGCAAAATATGTCAAAGGAGAATTTTTATCAGAATCCTAACTTTGAATCATTTTGAACGAAATTTTTATCCTCTTACCTTCTCCCCGGCAGAACTTGATCTTGCCATACTATACAACGACAGATCAGTTCTAGAAAACCATCATTTGGCTGTCGGTTTCACCATTCTTAAAGACAGGGGTGTCAACATATTCAGGAACATTCCATCTGCAGTTTACAGGAGCGTTCGACGAATGATCATCGATATGGCAAGATAAAAATTAATTTTTTTTGCAAAATAAATATACATTATCAAAATTTTTGTATTTATTAATGCAGGGGTAATTAATTTAATGTTCAAGTTTTACGCTCATAATAATTTACCCTTTGTTATATAAGATAAATTTAATAAAAAATTTATTTACTTTAATCTAATAAATAAATGATATGCAAGCGAGCAATAAATAATTGAAAGTAACATACGAACGAACCAGGTATTGGCCACTGATATGTCCATGCACCTGAAGTTGGTGGCTGATTTGAAGACGACGCTGGAAACACAGAAAGTTATTGTGGCCGATGCTAAGGCCTCAAAATCTGCATCATCACCACAACCAACATTGCTTTCTTCGTCATCTTCATCGTCGTCTGTTCATACTATTCACGCTGACAGTGATAACGGGGTCAAGAAATTAACTTTGGAAAACTTGGAAGTTAAGAAACAGGTCACACGCAACAAATCTGTTGAAAAGATTTTTTTAATCAAATTATTTTCTAAACTACTTTGTCCGTTTAAATATTTGTTGCCGTTTTTTGAGTATCTGTATATTAATTATTTGCACTTAGCAGGTTTTTCAGAATTTGATACACTGTGCAGACTTGGGCAACCCTTGCAAACCCCTCCCCATTTATCAAACTTGGGTCGAGAGAGTTATGAAAGAATTTTTCAATCAGGGAGATATGGAAAAACAGCAAGGTTGCATAACAATAAATATAATAACAAATTTAATTTAAAACTTGATTGATGAAGTTACATGAGTAATGGACGGCCTGGTCGATGCTTACCACGCAGGAGCAAAGTTGACGCTTACAAATTGTTCCTTGTTTATTATTGTTAATATAACAATAATAATTGTTATTATTATCATTATGTTATTTTCATTTTAATGGCATTTCTCAGAGGATTGAACTGTGATCAAATGCTATGTGTAATTTTGGAACAAACTTTTACGAAATGGCGAATTCAAATGTCATTGATTAAGATCTTCAATTGTGCGTGTGCGTATATGTGTGTATATAGTGATTGGAAACTGTTAACTAAAATGGTTTAACATTTTAGTTTAACAAATAAAATTTAGTTGAGGTTAAAGTTTAACTAAAAATTAAAGGTTAGTTGAAAAAAAGTTTAATTAATTATTTTTAGTTATAACTAAAAAGTTTAACTATAAATTTTGTTAACTTTTTATGCAACATTTTTTTTGAACTTAGCTTGATAATTTGTGAAAAAATTCAATAACAATGGCCTGCAGTAAATAATTAATAGCATACTATATATTTTTGTCACTTTATATTTGAGTAAAAAACGTGGTGTTTGTTGCTGCTAATCCTGCTAGTTGGTTGTTCTCGACGTTGTTATTCCATTCATTCTATTGCCTAAAAATAAATATTATAAACTTTGTTGTTTCAGCTTAAATAATACTGAAAGTGATTGCCAAATGAATAAATGGGCAAATTAATTTCATAGAAGACAAATCAAAAAAAAACAATTCCAAATTTTTTATAGATTTGCAACTGCTGAACAAATGTTCAACACACTATCACAAATTCTGACATTTATAAGATGCAAAATGGCTGATGAAATGCTTGACATTCTTCTTTTTTTACGCTCTCGTTCTTGATACAAAGATTATAACATTTCAAACTGACATTGGAGACACTTTATGTTCATTTCATTTTTTATCAATTTTAGCATTCATGCCATGATTAGGACATCTTTTTGGCAGAAATAGTTAGGAAAAGTTATGAATGTTCAACTAATTTTTTTTGTTTTGTTTAACTACGTTGAAAAAGTTATGAAAGTTGATTAGTTAAACTTTATTATTTTAGTTCAAACTGTGTCATAGTTTACTTATAAAAATAGTTTAGTTCCCATCTTTATATATATATATATATATATATATATATACAATTTGATAATTTATATTTATTTTGCTTATTAAAATATAGTATTTATATATTTATATATATATGTAGGTAATATCAAATTTTTTCAATAAACAAACAACTAAAAGATGAATTTTAGGATTTTATTACAATTATATGTCGCATACATAGGGGCGAGAGCACGTGTGACGTAACATTACTTTGGCCAAGCTGCATGACACTTGCTTCCTGCCGTTAAATTATATGGAATTTCAGAAATAAACTAACAATTGTCAACGCAAAGTTGCACTTACTGCTAAATAAAATGGAACTTATAAATTTAATTTAACTTAGGTCTCGATGTGAGTCCCATGTGTAACAGAGATATGATATCCGTTGAAAAGGCCCAAGTAATCTTACGTTTCCTCGTTCAATTTTGCTTTTAACATTTTTATACTTTCGCGTGTTCATATAAAAATTTTATAATTCTTTTCTGATTGTGCCATAATCATTTTTTCGCAACGCTTAGATAATTTTTGTTGTCATCGATCATTATTTAAATGAGCATCACCTTCTTGCACGAAAGGTCGGCTTCATCGACTACATAGCTCTTCCGCTGTGGGAGGCCTGGGATGAACTTGTGAGCAACCAGTGCCAGGAAGCTCTTGACAACCTGCTCTTTAACAGGGACTGGTACGATGCAGAGGAGAAGGCGAAACAAAACAATCAAATCAGTTAACTGGCTCTAAATAAATTTGTTCAGAAAATTGTTTATAAATTTTTACATTTGTTTGCTTATTCACTCATTTATGTTTGAACCGTTATTTACACATTCATTCAAACATTCATTCATTCATTCATTTATTCCTCATCCATTTGGTTATTTAATCATATTATTTATTCTTTTTTTTGCATAATAATAACAATAATAAAAAATAATAATATTATATTGTAACGTTTTTTGTCCGATTGCCTAACGGTCTGCCAAGAATCCATACAACCAATTTGTCAACCAATTCATCATTCACTTAGTGACTTGTCGACCTTGTGAGCATATTTTTATGGACATGTCAAAAATTTGAACGAATAAATAAATGTTGTGTATGTAATTTTTACAATAGATTCATACGGAATACATTGAATATCTTTATAAGAGACAGCGGTTTAAACTATGTATGTTTCACATTATGAATTGTGAAGACAAACATTTATTTTTATATGATGTTTTCATTATTTTGCCATTTTTATAATAAATTTTATGCTAACAACTGTTCAAGCGTATGTGACTAACTCACGACATTTCATTGATTGCATAAGAACACACACCACACACCACACACACCACACACACACACACGAATAAAACGCAAACACACTTGTTGCGGTTTAAGTGCTGAAGATGATGGAAAAATCGAAATAGGTCTTATACACTCGAGAATGTGTTGGAAAACTCTCCACTATTCTAATTTTAATAAAATAAATATTGATGACAAGAATTTAGATAGAAATGTTCGAACCAACAGTAGAAATTCGGTTGACTTCATAAATTACTGCATTAATTATGATCTCTCTCTCTCTCTCTCTCTCTCTTTCTCTCTCTCTCTCTATATATATATATTTACAATGTTCTATAAATTCTAACAAATGTTTGGCGTTAATATGTTTGTAGTTCGTTTTTTCGATTAAAATTCAAAATAAACTTATTTTCCGAATTCATGCTGCAAATAAGGCCATATTTCGATTCCAAATGAATCATCATCAGTGCAGGTTGATTTATATAAGGAAACGTTCTCCAAAAAACTTTAGTGAGAAAAATTGAAAAAACGAACTACAAACATATTAACGCCAAACATTCGGTAGAATTTATAGAATATATTAAAAATTATGGTCTATTACCAACATATTTTTGTTTATTTTGATAGAACACAAAAGCTTTTTTCAGTATTTCTATACCATCTTCGTCGCTCGAATTAATACGTTGTCTATGTGGCCGCCAGATGCTCAAATATATATATATATATATATATACTATATCTCTACTTTGTTGATTCCTTGTTTGTTCAAAGTGAATACTTAGCGCTCATTTAATTAGTTTTACACTCTTCAACTTCGTCCGATCTGACACTTTTACTTGCTTTCATTACCGATGGTTCTTCTGTTTCTAAATTTATTTGTTGAATATTTATTATCTTATTTAATTTAATTTAATTAATTTACAACTAGCCGAATCAATACTTATAGAACAGCAGGCTATTGGGATTCTCATAGAACAAAAACATATAATATATATATATATATATATATATATATATATATATATATATATATATATATATATATGTATTATATAAGACGTTAGTCAAGTTCAAATATTCGAACTAAAAAAATTTAAGAATCTGATTTTCTATTTGCACTTTAAAAATCATTGTTGAAAATTGCCCACAAATTTGAAATGCAATCAATAATGCAAAATTTCATTCGTTTCAGTTAAAAACGGAGCATTTTATTAATTAACACTTACTTTTTCATCTATGAAAAACAGGAGTATGGTTCAACAAACGTTGGTTTAATGTTTATGTTTGTACACGATTTTATGGGATAAATAAACAAAAATTGAAATAAGAGTGCAAAGAGATTGCATTATTTTATTGGTGCTGCAGTTATATATAATTAATAATTATATTAATTAATATACTTTATTATCGTATCTGTCTGTTGTGTGTGAGCGTATGATTTTTTCATAATTTTATTATTGAAACGTACAACCGTGGCTATTTACAACAGGACACTATGATTCGTTGACCCGAGGTTAACAACTCCGCTGAATGACTTTCAATACTGCACAAGCACAATTATTTTTGTACAATAATTTTCTGTATCATTTTTTGTCCAGAAACAAATGTACTGGTGAACATTATATTCGACCTTGATCTATTAAAATTTATTTCTTCAATGCACGGACGAAATTAAATAAATTTGATTACGTAAAATTAAGAAATTAATAAAAGATGGACTGAACATGAACCATAAAAAATAAACATTGAAAATCAGCACAAATAAAAAATTACTTGCAGTTATCTTGTTTTTAAAAAAATGAAACTAATTCTAATAAAAATTATGCGGTCAACATTAAATTTAAGGTAAAATTTTGCTCAGAATGAATTTCAACAGTACGAATAAATGCACAAAAACTAAATTACACGCTCTGCACAAATCTGTTAGAAAAGTATTTAACAACAGTCAAGTGCGGGATTGTCGTTGCGCTTTCAAATTTATTAACATTGGTAAAAAAGAGGTACTATTAGTTTCATTTACATTAACAATAAATTTTAATTTAACCATTTGAATTACTTCTTATGTATTAATAATTAATTTGTTTTAAACGCGTAGTCAGGAATATTATGTTATCGAACTTTTGAGCATACCATATTATTTGTTAGGTTTAGTAAACAAAATATTACAATTACTTACAAAGCATTTTTTGACTTCAGAACAAACCTGTCATTGAAAAATAGGAGCCGATAGGCGACATTCAAAAAAGGCAATCGGTTCCTTACGACAATCGCAACTTATTGGATATTTAAAAACAGTGTAGTCGACAAGACCACAAAATATACACCGACAACGACCCATTTTAAAAGCTGCAACCTTATTAAAAGAAGCGACAACGAAGATGGATAATCTTAATGATACCCAAGAGTCATCCGGTATTTTTTTTACTAACAAGAGTTGGTGAAATATAATATAATAAATATAATAAACAGTCTACAAATAAATCGAAATATTTTATAGATCTTAATTAATTACCAATAAAATTTATTAGTTAAACATTTCTTAAATATTTTTGACAATGGTTTGATAATTGATAAATTCATTGAGTGTCGTAGCCGGACATACAATTACTGAAATTTTTGTGACCAATAAATTAGGCATTGAGTTCAGTCCGTCCGTTCAAGACGATTCTCTTCTGAACGCACCCGCCAGTGAAGATGATGTCATCGGGCAAAGTATGACGTCAGAGGGGGAAGCAGAGGAGGTGCTTTATTCTGTTTAAAGTTTAACATTTTATTTATATATTTTTTATTATAAATAAATATATATATAATATTCAAAAGATGTAAACAAATTTTAAGCAATTGTAAACTTGGTGCTAATGTAATTAATATTGTTGTTTCAAAATAGTGAAAATATTTACAAGCAGAATTTTTTTCACCACCTGTTATCAAAGTGAAACACATTTTGATCCAGACATTGTCGTAAAATCATAATATTAACATCATAATATTATAATATCATTGTTAATATGCACAAACCTTGAAAGTAATGTCGCATGATGCATGTGTATACAAGCGCGCAACGTACATTTAAAATAAATAAAAAAACGTATCTCTGTTAAATTTTTTTATTAAACAGGTTAGAACATTGTTCATCAGTGGCCTCCCTATTGACACAAAGCCTCGTGAGTTGTACCTGCTATTCAGGACTTTTAAAGTAAGACGCAAGTTTCAGATAGATATCTATCAAGTTACAGTAAAACAACAAGTTTAAAAATTAGTTTAAAACTGTTTCATATTGATTTATTACTTATTTCTCTGTTCCGACACTTAACATCATAAATGTTTAAAGGGATACGAGAGTTCTCTTTTGAAGACGGGATCCAAATTGGGAAAACCAACCACAGTAAGTTCAGCGTGTGGAATTAAACAAGACGTCACCCGTTTTGCAAATTATTATTACTGTTATTATTATCATCATTATTATAAAAAAAAAATAAACAGTCAAGATATGTCTATGTCCAACTCTCAAAATCATGAAATAACTAAAATATGCGCATATATAATTGAGTAAATATATACACATACATATCGATGTCCGTTTGCCGTTAAAAAATAAAACGGTAATTATTATAAATTTAAAAAATTTTTTAAATTTAAAACATATTCGCAAATTTAAATTTCAACCAACCAACATCAACCTATTTGAAAGATGTATTCTAAATCGTCAAATTTGTAATTTCATCTATAACTTTATTTGAGTTATTTAATTCAATAACTTTCACATTAACAGCCCGTCGGATTTGTAACATTCAAATCAAGGAAAACCGCGGATATTGCCAGAATTGAGCTTCAGGTGCTAATATTATAATTTTTAGCGCAATTCAAATAGATTAAAAAACATTTATATTATTTTAAGGGAGTTAAATTGGATCCAAATCATTCCAGTCCACTTCGACTGGATTTTGCCAAAAGCAACACAAGGAAAGTAACAAAAGTATCCCGCCAGTTGTTCTCATCTCCCATTCCCAATGCCAGACCTTCAGCATTTGCTCACTCAACCTATGCTTCTGTGAGAGGTACCACGTTGTTCTAATACGTCGACTATTCAAACAAATTTAATGACTAGTATAATTAAAAACCTATTGGCGAATTAGCTCAAACGTATGAATGCCACGGTCCGCGCGAAGACCTGGTTCGAACACTGCCTGTCGAAACTCAAAAACTATCATACGATTTGTGCGTATGAAACGGTGATTTTGTGTATTCGTACGTAAAAAATGTGCATGTACGTCGTGTGGTGGGTTGTACAGCATTTGTGTTTAAGAAAAAAAATTTAAGCTAGTATTTGTTAAAATAAAGTTCATACTGAAGTTAAATTTATTTTTGTGACTAAATCATTTTTCATTTCCAGATTTTAATTCTTCTCAGTTCTATTCAGCGAACTTCTTACCAGGCAACCAATGGCACAGTTTGCAAGCACCAACTAATCAAATGATCAGTCCTTTTGCTTTCAACATTACCTATCAATCAGGTATTATGGGAGGAGTTGGAACGCCGTATGCATACCAGTCAATGCCCGCCGTGTCTCTTCCTTTTCATCACGCAATTATGGCAAACAACTCCAACTCCCATTCTAACTCACAAACTATTGGACCATTTTGCACACCACCAAGAAACCACTTTGGTCACCAGGAACATTTGTCGCACAACCAAAGTTATTCAATGCCAATGTTGCCTGACAAAGATCCAAATAACACTGATAATAATTCCAATGTTGGATGCATCTCTACCTATGGAAGTTCAGGAAATATGTTGCCAACTGACTCTATCGATCCGGATGGAGATGGTGGGGGCGGGAATGTCACGGGTGCCAACGATACGAGTGGCAGCAGTGGAAATTTTGACATCTCCAATGTTAAAGATGACAGTCCTTCTGCGACCTTATTCGTTTGCAATTTGGGCTGTCATAGCACAGAGGATGAACTAAAAAATGTGTTTGCCAGGTTAAATATTTTTAAAATTTAATAGAGTAGGATAGGCGTGTATTTTTTGTAATTGAGGCTTAAAACATACCTCGTACAGTATGGCCGGATTCGTTCATTTGAGAATGTATTCAAAGGGAACAGAGTCAGCAGTCGCTTTTGTGGATTTTACAGTGAGAATATTTATTAAACATAAGTTATTTTAAAAAATTTTAAAACATAAACAAGCGTCAGACGTATAGCTTGACTATTTGGCAGAATGTTGAGTATGCATCGGAGGCTTGCGACAAATTGCAGGGAACTGTGTTGCCATCATCAGATAATAGAGGGATAAGGATTGAATTTGTCAAAAATAAACTTCGACAGGTGAGTTTTAAGATTTGTGATTTTATGTATTACTGTCCCATAACCTAAGCATTTCACCAAATCTCCTATGCCACCAGATTCTTTAATATCAAAATTTCCAAACGACCAGAATGTTCAACGTTATTTTTATAATGCAGATAAAGCAGAATATATCTGAGAAGACCCAGCAGACGTCCGAATGATCCTATCCTACCTCACACTTATTTCTAAATTAATTTTGTTGTTTTGTATTTCAATGTTTTTTTTACGTTGGTTTTAAATTAATTTATTTAATTTGTTCTGCCTTTTGCATTTCCTTTTTTCACGTTTTGTTTTATTAATTCAATTGGACACATGCAAAGATTAATGAATTTAATCACAATGTTTTAAAAGCATCAATAAGCCTGCATATTTCAACTTTTTATTAAATGATTCACTAGGTTTTTTAAAATTTGTGAAAAAAATGCAAACGTTTATTCAAATAAGCCAATCGATCAATGTTTATAGTTATAGGATGTTTAAAATTTTCAACGATTTTTCTTTAAATTACGGTTATACTATGAAATGAAAATTTTGAAAAAGATTATGAAATTGAACTATATCATTCATCTGACAAATACAAAAAACCAACAGACAAAAAACAGCAGATAAATCAAATTTAGATGCATTATCATCCCGAACGTTCAACGAAAATAAGTTTTGCACATCCTGCCTTACAACACACTCAACGGTGCAGACGAAAATGCTAACAAAATCTGTATAAAATTGTTATACTTTTATTCAGACAATCAAATAAAAAAACTATATATATATATATATATATATATATATATATATATATATATATATTTATTTATTTTTGGGCCAATAATAATGCAAATATAATATACTCAAAATTAAATCACTGAATTAAGTAACAAATAATTCACAATCAAAATATTTTTAATAATCAAAAAATTAAAAAAAAAAACAGATTGGAAATAAGACGGTTAAACAAATAGATTGAAGAGAACCATGCAACAAATTAAAAACAATCAGCAGTAGATACAATAATACAGAATAATTTTTGCAATGTTAGTAAATTCGTAAACATTTTATACAATACAGTTCAATCCTAGATAGTAAATTCATAATTATGAATTAATCAAACGTGATGTTTAAAAACGAAACAAAGCAAAAAAATAAAGAACTTTAAACTTTTATCAAGTCGTAAGTACGAATACTTGTCATGAAAATATCATTAAGGCTAATTACAATTATCGAATTTAAAAAAGTCGAAGTAGATCAATGTCTCGATTATTATGAATAAGTAATGAACTACGGCGTAACGTCAAATTTCATAATCTAAAATAGAAGAAGAGAATAACAAATATGTGAAAATGGAGGATGAGATGAAGTCAGAAACAGTAAAACAAAGAAATTGAAAGATAAAAAAAGTAAACGGATAGACTCTAAACAAAAAGCAGAACTAAATACAGAGAGCAATTCAACTGCCCTAAATTGGTATAAATTCAATGAGATGCGCTTGAAATATTAGCTGCAATTTCATAAGACCCTTCAGAGTTTTTGTTACTTATATATCCTTCGTCCTTCTCCTCCTGGGTCTTTGTACAGGAAAGTGGAAAAATATTTTTCCACTTTGCACTCTCGTTGTTGAAAAGATTTTTTGTGGGACGTTTTTTAACAGTGTTGTTGCCATCCTCGTCAAAGCCAGCTCTCTGGCTAGCTTTCAAAGCCCCGTTGCATTTATTTTGATCCAAAATGAAGGATCGGTCGCGAGGAACAGTGTTCATCACACTGATGCTATCGGAAAATGAAGAATCATCAATAAGTGCACTGTCGGTGTGTAAATGCTTAGCTGCGTGTATATTTTTGCTAGCAATTTTACTCAAAATGTTTTTAGATCTATCATTAAGGCTAGTCGTATCATTACATTTGATCATCAGACCACTGTTTACGCTGCGACTTTTACGAGGTAGACAGCGAGTATGATGAGCGGAAAAATTATTATCCAATTCTACAGTTCTAAAGTTGATCTGACTCATAGTCGTCAGAGAATGTTCCGAGTAGTCACAATGAAAATTTGGCAATTTTTTCGCAACGTTGTCATTTTCAACCTCGACACTGCGGACCATGTCGGTTGACTCATTTGTACCGTCAACATCATAATCATTTAAATTCTCGTTAGCAAATTGCAAAGAGGCAGCGCAATTGTCGTCATAGGATTTTTCGTTAATTCGGTTAACATCGTCCAATATTTCGTTTAACGACAACGTCGAACTTTTACCTTCAGCTAAGCCTTCTCCACCTCCCTGATTCGCCAGTGACATTCGACCACTTAGACTGGAAACGTCCTGATAATCAAAATGAGTAGCGAAACTGTCGTTGAACGTGTTAGAGGAATTTTTATTAGTTGTCAGACCTGTGTCCATTATATTAAAAACACGATTCTTTGATTGCATATTATGTTCATAACCTGTACCGCCTATCTTTTCTTGAATCAAATGTTTCCTTCCTGACGTCTGAAATGAAAAATTTGGAACAAAAGTTGCATTGGGTTACGATGCAACAAAAATACACTTAAAAGAAAATTTTAAAATTATATTAACACCAACTTCATAACTTGAACCGGAGTTTAGAGTCTGAGGACTCACATTCATATTCAACATAGTTTTCAAATTTTCATTTTCCTCATGAGTTTGTGCTAATTGCTTTTTCAATATTGTACATTCGTCTTTAAGACTCTTTAAAATAAATAATTTTTGCCAAATTATATTAATAAAATGTAATAATTTATAAAGTAGACCACAATTATATATAAATATGCCCCAAAAATATACAACAACAATAAACTATCAACCAATGATGATGATCTCCAGTAACATTCACTCAAAAAGTTTATCAAGAGCATTGAACAATATTCAATAAGGATTAATTGCATCAACATAACGGCCAATCAGACCAAATCTTCCTGCAAAACAACTGATCTAAAAACAACCGCCAACAACAACCACCAAAGGCAACCACTACCAATAAAAATAATCAACATCAACCGCAACATTGCTGGCCACGACAGAAAACCCTTAATACAAAAATTAAAAAAACAAAAACAAGACCAAACCCGTCAAAAACAAATTTACAAAAACTACGAGCAATTCAAACAAGACCCTCCGAACAGCAGTAGCGGGCTGCCACAACCTCGCCTCACAAGAACATTCACATTGGCATTGCAAGAGTGTTATCATTAAACAACAAACCAATCTACTATCTTCAGAAAACACACTCATGTCAAATGCAGTCAACAAAGCAATAACAAACTATAACTACACATCTTCAATGTTACTCAACGGAAGATATCCTCTTACACCAACAATCAATCAAATAGAACACCTTACAAAGAAAGTCAGAAAGAAAACCAACCGTTGCCATCTACTCAACGACTACTGAAGCAGAATTAACTCAAACACTCCAAACAACTGTCCACCAAGCAACAACTGCCCTCCAGTTGCAATGTTTCCAGCCTCTTTGAGACCAAATGAAAACTAAATGCTCAAAGGTTAAATAGTTAAAAAATCTATCTACGATCGTGTTTTTACAAAGGACAGACATATGACCAATGGCACTTCTGTCCATGTTACTACAAGCCGGAGACATCGAGACTAATCTCGGACCCCAATGCGCTTCCTGTAACAATCCTTCCAATGCAACAAACCAAGTCATAAATAAACCTAGTGCTCCATGCTCTCACGAGATGAGGCAGCAAAAATAAGAGCAACCCGTGGTGATCAAAACAAATGAACATGCTACAGATGCCCAGAAGGACTAGTCAGCCTGCAGCAAAATCACATGCAACCAATACAGAGTTAGGAAAATGTAAGAGATGTTATAAGAAGATCAGAATTAATAATAGACCGATTCAATGTACAAGGTGTTCCGGTATGTTCCACAGAATATGTAGTGTCCCCCAAAAATATCAGAGTATCTGAGTAATAAGACTAGTGTTCCAATGAATGTAACTAAAAAAGAACTCCACACCTCCGTTACGTTGTGACTGTTCATTGGAATTCCATCTGAAATGCGTCAAAGGAACCAGGCAAAATATATATGTTCAGCAGAACACCTGGAGACGTGATAATTGCAATAAAAAAAATAAAATAACTTAAACCCCAATGGTCATGATGAGACTAATGTAACAGACGATCTATTGAATTCTAAATTGGGATGCGTCAAAAAATGGTTAGAGTGCAGTGGAATTGCAATTCAATTTGATGAAAAAAAGAGCTTATGCATTTCCTGAAAAAGAATAAACCAGATATAATGTTAATATAGTCTTGAATGTCAGGTCCTGAAACACATAAGAAGGAAGTATGGTCTAGGAGAACAACTTGGTGAACTGAACGAGCTCCCAATGGAGGCTGGGAAAATGGTAGCGGAGATTATGAACAGACTAGAAAACAACTAATAAATCAAAATGTGCGAATACAACAGCAGCCCACAACTGCCGTAATTAGCCAAACCAACTAAATAAAATTATAAATAAATGGCTTATAAATCAATTGCATAAATCAATTGATCCTTGGCAACTAACATCAACTAACATAACAAAAACCATTAACAATCAGCCAACAACCAACCACAACTACCACCGACTACATTAACAATGACAATCAACCAACCAGCCAATAAAAAACGACCACCACTAACGACAATAACATAACCAACGGTTACCTTCTGAGCAACAAGAGCCTGCAATATTTGACTTGTAACATCAGCAAGACATTTTTCATAATGTTGAAATTGTGTTTCATTTTCTTTTGTCAGATCTTTCTTTTCACCTTCTAGTTTTTTAATCTTTTCCAGAAATTTGTCATCTTTCTCGGGTTTGAAGGAATTACTTGATGCAGCATCAGAGCTAATAGCACTATCCTTCAATTTAAATAACAAATGGGTTATAGAACTAGTTTTTAATTTAGTTTTTGTTGTTCAAATCAAATGTTCATAATTTATTTTGAATTATATTATTATGAATAAAAATATACGTTTTGTTTTTCCAATTAATAAATTAAAAAATTACAGTTATATTAGAAAAACTCGAATATAAAATAATTAATTGTGAACGAAAAGCCTAATATAAAAGGGTCTTGTGTGCTTTTAAAGCCGTCATAACAGCATGCCATCCAATCTGCAGTTTTCGTTTGTGCAGTTGTCACAGTTTAAAGTATCAATTTTAAAAAGCCAATCTTACAGTTGAATTGTTAAAATTTCTACAATAATTTTTTTGTCTGTTTGAATTTTTCTGAAATTTAATAGCTATGTGAATTTGCTTTAATAAATGTCATGTATTTGTCAGAAAATGTAACTATTTTCTAATTCAATATGCAAAATGAAGACTGCAAACTATTGTTAGTTGAATGTGGAAAGATGCAGACGTAACATTGAAGGTGCAGGTACAATGCAGTACAGGAAATATATCCTTTCTACGGGGATCTACTATAAAAATCTTATTTCAATGTCTTGAGTCTACGCTTGATTTAGTTGCTTTAATGGAAGTTAATCCAAAAAATTTCGAATATAAAATGTTTATCCAACATTCGATTATTATTTTTAGTTTTGTATTTTATCATTTGAACAATTGTTAGATTGGTATATTTTTTTTAGACTTTTTAAATTTTTATAGTTCAGTGTGGCAAGGGATTTAACCCGTGCTGGTTTACATTAATAATAATGATAATAACAACAACAATAATAATAATAATGAGAACTCTTTTATTTCTTCAAAAGCCAAAATATAAATGAAAATTACAATTAAATATAAAATGATCAAATATTATAATAGTTAAAAGATTAAAATAATGGATAATTTAAAACCTATGCTCGTCATTATGAATGTGTACTAAGGTGATGAAATAATATAAAAACTAGAGTCAAGCTTTATTTCTGTCGCAATATATTGCGTAAGTAGACGCTATCGCAGAATTGATTAAGCTAGATCTAAAATCGTCAAACCAGTTTATTTTAGTTTGAGATAATTTGAAAGAATTATAAAGTCCTATTGGCGAAATTTTAAATGTGCTGATTAAAATATTGCAATGTTTTAAATCATTCAATAGGTTATTCTTGAGGTTGCTCTTGTACTTATCCACTTTGTAGTTTCTTGATTTGGTTTAATTGATTTCATGACAGACTGTTAGTTCCAGTATTTCAATCGTTTTTTTGTACAAGATTGATATGTCTGGTCTGAGCGAGGTAAACAGTTACGACACAGGGCGGATCCATTCTTCTTCGATATCCGCAAAAATGATTGCTCCAGGCTCGATGCATGATTTGATGTTAAGATGATGGCAAGTATTTTATTGTGGCGATTTAAGTATCTAGCGAGTGCAGATGGCGAACCACAGTTTGATACTACATGCTTATTTGTTTCCTTGGCGTTAACAGAGGGAGCATGCTGCGTTGTTCGTTTTTTTCCATTTAACTAAGTTGTTGAATGAGATATTTTCTTGTGAATTTGTATAAAACATCTGGCAGGGATTTTGTTGCATTAGCCCAACGGGTGATCTCTGAGTCGTGAACGTTTTCCTTAATCGACTTTATCATTGTTCCTAGGCATTGTAGCAAAGATAGATGGTTGAAGTCATTTTGGTGTTGACGCTGTTTCAGAACGTTGCACGCCATTTGAATATCGTTGCTCTGGATTTGGTTGTCGACTTTTATGTATTCATTCTTTGACTCCTGCCACAGAACTCTCATTTCTTCACCAGTGTTTATTTTCAAGTGTGTTAAGTTTTAATCTCATTAGCTCTGTGTGATGTTTTAGCGATTTTATGTTTAACCCTCCACTTTTGTAAGACAACGACAAAACTTCAGCAATACAGCTACTTACTGGAAGAGACAACCAATCTCTTACAGCTTCGCGTATCAACGGGTCTAGGCTGTTTCCTATTCAAGTTAGCGAAATATCGTACAATCGCAATTGAAATGATAATTGAAACGGAATGAAGAGACGTAGGATTTGAAGTTTCCATTGAGCTGTTGCATTTAAGTCACTAATTACTTGCAGCATATCTGTTAGTTTCTTTTGGAGTATCTCTTTTTCCTTGACGTTTTTGCACTCAAAATCATAAAATTTACCCAGATACTCAAACTTGTCATCGACGCCTATCTGGGGTATTGTTTCGTCGTCTATTGTTAGCTTCGGCAGAAATTGTTCATATGCGCCATCCCGCTTTCGCATCCCGAATGTGAAACACTTGTCAACTCTTATTTTCATGCCAGACCATTTGCACCAGGTTTGGTTGAGATTGATTAGAGTCTGAACACCATTAGAGCTGTTTGTTATAATAGCTGTATCGTCAGCGAATTGCATCCAAGCTCCGGGTTTTAGATTAGCCGCAGGACCCCATAGGTATCCACATTGTTCATATTCTTTTCTCTCTAACATTTTCATTTGAGGGTTGAAACAGAGGTTAAAAAGAAGAGGTGAACTGGAGTCACCCTGCAGCACTCCACGTTTCACAGGGATTGGTGGAGTTAACTGCTCACGTACTGATACTGTTGTTGAATAGTCAGCATAAATAGAATCAATTAAGTTGCATATCTGGTCCAGGATAAGATGGTATTTTAGAAAAGATGAGATGAGATCGTGACTAACCTCACCAAATGCATTTCTGAGATCTAGAAGGGTGACGATGATCGTTCGCTGATGTTTCTTCGCATCTTTCATCAGGTGAGTAAGTAGATGAGTGTGTTCCTTCCCTCCGTCCAATTTTGGATAGGAGCCTTTTTGTATTGAGGTGTTGATGAAGCTGTTGTTTTCCAGATATTTGTGTATTCTGTTGCCGATGCATGTAGAGAAGATCTTGTAGAGAACCGGTTGTAGCGTTATCGGTCTAAAGTTAGCTGGGTCATTGGGGTCACCATTTTTATAGATTAAAATGGTGAAGCCCTTTATCCAACAGGATGGAACCGTAGTAGACCTCCAGCATTCGACTATAAATTGGTGAAGGATTGTGCGCAGCATAGGGCATTTTATGAAGACAATTATTGAGATTTGATCAAGTGGACAGGGGGATACCTAAGTTTGCATTTTCTAATGACTGTTGCTATTTCGTTGTATGTTGGGGGGTCGATGTTGCATGGAATTGTTGGTTGTTGCAATGTTGGAACCCAGTTCTGAAGGCGAAACTTGTTATGAAATGGGTCGTGGAGTATGTTGTAAAAATATTTCTAGCAGTCGTCGATGCTGAATGATGGGGTTAAGCTGTTTGATGGGTTGAATATTTTTTTGCATGTTGACCAGAATTTGACTTTCAGTTGTTTTGTTATGTCGACATGTTTCTCAGTTTTTGCATTTCTCAGTGATAACAGTTTTGTTCTTATTTGTTTGCTTAATGTGCTGATTTTCATGTCGAAACTGTGGTCGTTGCGGCCAAGTAATTTTAACTGTTTAAGGTCCTTCTTCATGTTTTTGACAGTTTTATTAGGGTGTTGAATTCTGAGTTGTCAACCCAGACTCAAGTTATCATCTCAAAACTGAAGTCCTTGGATGATGCCATTGGCCTACAAAATAGTAATTTCAATGAATTCAGGATGAAGACGGATAATCTTTCGTACTCTTCCATGAAGATTCTGGAGGAGAATGAAAAAGTTGCCAAGACAAGAGTTGAACAGAGTGAGCAGGAAATAAAAAAATATTCAGATGAGGTTAAAGGAAAAGTTGGTAAGTTGTCATTAGATGTCAAACAGGTACAAAAAACAATTGTTGATACCTCAACTAAAATTGAATTTCTAAATGACAGAGAAAAGAGGAGAAATAATGTGATCCTATATAATTTGCAAAAAAATGGGTCAACACGAATGAAGTAGTTAAAAAATTTTTGAAAGAAATATCAGAGATTGATTCAGAGACAGAGGGAGTTGAAATTTCCAGACTGGGCAGAAAAATGGAAGATGATCAAAAATCTAGACCAGTTTTGATTCAGTTTGCAAATATAAATACCAAAAATTTGCTACTTGCAGATTGTTACAAACTTAAAAAATCAGCAATTTTTAATAAAGTAATTGTCAATCATGATCTTTCCAAGGAAGAAAGAAGTAACAGCAGAAAACTTTTGGAAGAAAAAAGGAAAGAAATAAGTGCCAAAGAGGACATAACAAAATGGTCATTCAGGCTCAAAGGAAAACCAAGTGATTTTTATGTGGTTGCTGTTAGAAGGCAAAATTTAGAGATACAAAAAATTTAAGTCAGACAAATTTGAAATATTTAAGAATTATGATGTCCAATGTAGATACTTTGTCTAATAAGTTTGGAGATTTACAATCCTTGTTGGGAAGTTTAAAATGTACACCTGATCTGATTGCTTTAATGGAGGTGAATCCCAAAATTTTAAAAATAATACTTTTGTCTGAATACAATTTGCAGGGGTATTCAAGTTTTGCTTCTGAGTTTTCTTATGTTGGTAGAAGGGCACTTTTGCTGTTTTATAAAAAGTCTTTGTTAGTTTCAAAAGTTGGTATGGTCTCAGAATTCAAAGAATATATGACTGTGAAGGTTTGCATTTCTGGAAGATTTTTAAATATTCTGTTTGTATACAGAAGCCCCACATCCAGTGTTAAAAATAACATTCATCTATTAACACTGGTTAATGATGGTCTAGCATTGCCAGGTGATTTTTTAATGTTTGGGGATTTCAATTTACCTGAAATAGACTGGGATACGTACAGCTGCAGTGGAGGTGAAGAGAAATTTGAAAACAAATTTTTAGATATCCTTAAAAATAAATTTTTGTTACAACACATTAACCAGCCAACAAGATTTAGATTTGGTCAGTCTGCAGATATATTGGATTTAGTGATTTCATCACAAGAGTTTGTTAAAAACGTGAAATTTTATTCACCTCTTGGGAGCAGCGATCACTCAGTGGTTGAATTTATGATTGCTGGTTTTGGACGTTTAACAGATATGAACTTGAAAAAGTTTTGCTTCGATCTAGGCGATTTCAATGGTTTAAAGTCGGCTCTGTTGCCATCAGTGATTGAAGTGTTTACAGAGGATAGAAATGTCGGGAATGACTGGAAGATTTTTAAAGATAAAGTGAGTTGTGTGGTACAAAAGAATTTGTTCCAAAGAAAAGAAGAAACGTTGATTTCAAATTTATAATCACCAATGATTTGAAAGTTTTGATAAAGCAAAAGCATGTAATTTGGAAGTTGACTTATAGATATGGAGAAGATAAAATTCAAGAATTCCGAACAATTAGAGACAAAATTAAAAAACATACAAAAGTGATGAAATTGCAGTCGCAAGAAAAACTTGAATCACGTGAAAAAAGTAACCAGATGTGATGAGGTTGCTAGTCCATTGACTGAGGATGGAAGGGTAATAACTGATTCTAAGATGAAAGCTGATGCATATGCTAATTTCTTCTACTCTGTGTATAGAGAGGATACTTTTTTGATGGACGGATCTATTTTGACTCCACTGATGTATTATCTCCAATGGCTGATTTGGTTATTGACGAACGCATGGTATTATCAAAACTTGAAAAGCTAAATACATGCAAATCAGCAGGTCCAGATGATATACACCCACGAGTTCTATGGGAATTAAGAAAGTCAATCTGCTCCCATTTAAGTAGACTATTCCATCGTTCAGTTGATGAAGACATTGTGTTGCAGGATTGGAAGCTTAGTCATGTTGTTCCTCTTCATAAAAAAGGCCGTAAGGATCTGGCTCAAAATTATCGTCCGATCGCATTAACTTCAATTTGTTGCAAGATTTTGGAATCTATGATAAAAGATCACATTATGAATTATTTCATGGAGAATGATTTATTTTCAAATGGCCAGTTTGGATTTATACCAGGTCGTTCAGCAATCTTGCAACTTTTGGGGTTTTTGGAGTTCATTACTGAGGGATTGGATCATGGTTATGAGGTTGATGTGGTTTATATGGATCTTGAAAAAGCGTTTGACAAGGTTTCACACAGCCGGTTACTATTCAAGCTCAAACAGTACGGTATTAACAACAAGCTACTAAATTGGATTCAGAACTATATCAGTGGTAGGTCGTTTCAAGTAAAGCTTGATGGTACTTTATCTGATCATAGACCGGTTTTAAGTGGGGTTCCCCAAGGTGGGGTTCTGAGTCCGCTGTTGTTTCTAGTTTAGTTAACCGACTTATCCTCAGCTTGTGACAATGTTCTGCTATTTGCAGACGACTCAAAAATTTTCAGGGTAATATAAAAAGTGACGAAGATAAAATCATCTTTTCTAAGGATATTATAAAAATGGTTGATTGGTTTAGTAAATGGAAGTTAAATAATGCCAAATGTTAAGGTTTGGTTGCAACAATTCAGGTACACCATTCACTATTGTAAACTGCAACGGACTGCCCTTTCGGTTGCCAGAGATTGAAGAGATATCAGATCTAGGAGTGATCTTCAATGACAAGCTTAGGTTCAAAAGCCATATTTTGAGAATTGTTCATAAAGCTAACTCCATGTTGGGGATTGGGGATTCAAGAATTTATCAGAAGAAGCTTTTAATTTGTTGTACAAGTCGTTGGTGAGGTCTCAGTTGGAAAGGGTGTTCAAGCATGGAAACCTTATAAAATTGGTTTAATTCTAGAAATTGAAAAAATTCAAAAAAGAGCAACACGTTTGGTTAATTCCTGTAGGTCTCTTCCTTATATTGACAGATTAAAGAAACTTAAGCTGCCTTCACTCGCGTAACGTTGTCGCAGGGCGGATCTCATTTTGCTGTTCAGAATTTTACGTGGCGAGGTTTCTGTTAAGGCTAGTCCAACGCTACTATTTTCGTTCGACGATCGTACGAGAAGACACAACTGGAAACTGACTACAGGACCATGTCATAAAGATTGTCGTAAATTTTGCTTCTCAAACCATGTGGTAGATAACTGGAATAGGCTTCCTTTTGATGCCGTCAATGCTGATAACATTAACATTTTTAAATCATTATTAGATTCATTTTTTGGTGACTCCATATTTGATTGGCGTTTGAATTCATAATTGTTCCTTTTACACTATATACATTCAATAGTTATCATCTTTTACACGATGTATATACATTCAATGGTTATCATCTTAATAGTCCATTGGTTTCAGATTTGTATGCATTTTTCGGTTGTCTTAATTGTTAATACGATTAATTAATTCTGTTTTATTTTGTTGACTTGTGTTTTACTATTTATATATATATAAGATAAGTTTATTATGTACATTACCTATTTTATTTATTTATGGTTTATATTTTCGAATTTCTATTTTTTTGTTTGGCAAGGCGCTCTGTCCGTGCTGTTTTGAATAATAATAATAATAATAATACTGTGAACTCTTATATTATCAGAAAACATCCAGACAAATCAAAATAAAATCAAAATCAAATAAAAAATAAAGTAGAATTAAATCCCATGCTCATTGTCAGTGACAAGTATAAAATATTAAAATATATTTAAAGCATAGTATTTTATGCAGTGTTTCTGTCACAATCACAATAGATACTATATGACGAGCGAATAACACTATTAATTAATTTTTCATCTAGAGACATCGGCAAAAATATTGAAAATAAAGATAAATTTAAGTTGTTATAGAGACCAACTGGCGAAATTTCAAACGAATTGACAATTACAGAACAGTCAATAAAATCATTGTTTAAATAAGATTTCAGGTTTTTATATTTTTTACGCTTGTACTGTCTGGATGAATGAAGGTTAGTTTCGTGGCATATCGTCAGTTCTAAAACCACAACTTTTTTGCCTCGCAGAATGGCAATGTCGGGACGTAGCGTGTTGAACTGCGACATTGGGCGAACATTTTCCATTTTCAAATCTGCAAATACGCAACAATCTGATGGAGCGTGTAGTTTCGACCAGCCGACGATCAACGCTAATAACATGTTGTGTCTCTCAGTGTACCTCACTAGAGCAGATGTTGAGCTGCAGTTTGACATAACATGTCTGTTCGTCTGTCGAACATTGCAGAGCGGACACAAAAAAGTTGTGGATTTTTTCCATTTAAACAAATTTGAATTTGTAGGCAATTGTTGAACTAAGTATTTCCTTGTGAATTTGAACAGTACCCCGGATAAATTATTTGTAATTTATGACCAACGTGTTGTTTGCGCGGGGATAATTAGTTTGCCAATTGATTTGATTATAACATCCTGTGATTGCAATGCCAATACATGATCGAGGCCAAATTTTATGCGGTTTGTCTCGAGAATTATGAGAGACTGCTTCAATGAGCCTGTCCTGCTTGTTGAAATTTAGAGCTGTTTCTCGCCATAAACATTGAGTTTCATCGTTAGTGCTGTTTTTAGATAGCTACGAATTTTAAGTTTTGTTTTCTCTGCAGTACCTCTCAATGACATGATGTTATAACCGCCAAACTTCATTGGTAGCTAAAGTATCTGTAATACACAGGCACTGATTGGCATGGCAAGCCACTTCCTAGCTCTGACCACTATTAAACTGTCTAGACTAAACGATATCCATGTTGATGAAAAGTTGTAGCTGCGCAATTCAAATTGTAATTGCGTAGGAATAAAATATTTTAAAATTTGAAGTTTTTGCTGCAGTGTGATGTCAAGAACTGAGGTGATTCCTAACAATTTTTATAATTTTGAAACAACCTCTTCTTTGGCTTTTGTATTTTTGCTTTCAAAATCGTACAATCTGCCCAGATAGACAAAACTGCCAACAATTTTGACATTAGGAAGAGCATATTTTTCGATTGTTAACCTCAGAGATAATTGTTCATAAACTCCGTCTTTTTTCCCAGGCCAAATGAGCTGCTTTTATCTATTCTCATCTGCATGTCCGACCATTTACAACATGCATAGTTCAGATCAATCAATTTCTGAGCACCTACCAAACTGTGAACAATAATTCCCGAATCGTCGGCAAATTAAAACCAAGATTTGGTTTTAGGCCCAGATGTAGGACCTCGGAAGTAACCACAGCTAGCATACTCTTGAGTTTCAAGATTTTTCATTAGAGAGTTAAAACACAAATTGAAGAGAGAGAGTTAAAACACAAATTGAAGAGTAGTGGCGAGCATGGGTCACCCTGGAGAACACCTTTTCCAATCGGCAATGCTGGTTTTAGTTTGTTGTTGATTGAAACTAATACCGAATACTCTGAGAATATTGCCATTATCATCGATTTGAATAATTGTGGCACGTGGTGAAACGTTAATATTGAGTTAATGAGGAAATGACTTACTTCACAAAAACATTTTTAGGTCGAGTAGGACAACGATAATTGTACGTCGGTGTCTTTTGGCATCTTTTTTTTACGTGGGTTAGCATTTGTGTATGCTCTGCCAAGTCGTCGACCTCAGGATAAAATCTTTTTTAAATATTGGTGCTGATAAACTTGTTTTGATGAAGAAAATGATACAATCTTTTTTTTTATGAGTGATGATAAAATTTTTATAGAGGACTGGTTGTAAAGTTATTGGTCTAAAATTAGCTGGGTCATTAGCGTCGCCTTTTTTGTAAATTAAAATCGTTAAGGCTCTTTTCCAGCAGTTTGGAATTGTAAACGAGACCCAACATTTTGACAACAGTAGATGTAGATAAGTTCTAAGTATCGGACATCTTTTAAATATTATAATTGACATTTGATCTAGCGGCATGGTGAAGCTTTTAATTTAATTTTACGAATAATTTATGATATTTTTTCATATGATGGTGGATTTGTATTGCCATTAAGCTCAGGCTGTGGCAGAGGTAGAATCCAATCGGGAATAGTAAAATTTTCTCTATCACTCGCTTCATTACATTTTCGAAATAGTTGCTACTCCTTTCGATGCTAAACATTTCGATGATTGCAGTGATGTAGCTGGCGAAAAGGTTTTTCTGCATGTTTGCCAGAAATTGTTTGATTGAGTAGACACCTCTGATCGACCACCCGATTTTGCCAACTTTGCCCGGTGTAGTTTCGATCTGATTAATTTACTTCATTTATTTCGTTAGCGTGATTATTGTTGTTGTGACCAAGAATTTTTAGATGTTTCAATTTTTTCTTGAGTTGTTTGATATTGGTATTATCGTTTTTTGATTTATTTGGTTTTACTGTGCCGTATGTTTCGACAAAATATTGGTAGATGGTGTTTCGAAATTGAATGGTGTAGCCGTCAAAGTCATTGATTTTGTTGAGGTAATTTAATTTGTGGTGAAAATATGCGACTAAACAGTAAGTCGTGTAAACACAGCTCTCGTGTTCAATAATAATAATAAACTCTTGTGTACAAGTATTGCACGTCTGAGAGTTTTATTTGAGAGTTTGAAGTAAACTTACCGTAGCATAACACTTAATCTGTCATTGCTTGTGATTATTTTACGTTATATAAGGTTCATATCTTTACCTTAAGCATATCTATCTGACGCCATTTTAACTTGTTATATTCTAGGTACATAAGTGTTATTCAAAATTACATCCCAAAATCCTTAGTTACGTCATTTTATTTTATGGTACAATATACAAATATGACTATGTTGAATATGCTCATCAGTGATTGCGCTAAATTTATCTTCAGAAGAAAGAAAAAACACCAGTCCCAACTAATTTCCACATGTCATACACACTTCTATGTGTCAAAGAAAATAATTCAATCATTCAAGTTCAAATATTTATTCATTTATCAAAAAACTTTACAAAGAATAAAATGCATAAAATCAAATTTATTTAAAAATTAAAAAAAATTTACATTTAAAAAAAACAAAGAGCTTGAAAAATACTTACCAACTTGATGTGGCCAGTCATTTGTAGTTTGCATTGATAACATTTGTTGATTATCGACTCCAACTTTTGTACCTCCATGTTCATCAAGTGATTGTCTTGCACCAAACTCTCCAGCTGACTTTTCAATTTGCTCATTTCTGTCTGCTTCACAATAAAATATCCATTATAACAATTATTAATTTTAAATTTATAACAATAACCAAAAAAATAAATAAGTAAATAAATAATAAATTAAAAATATAAAAGAAGAAGATTATGTTGCACTGATTATTGGGTCTTACATGAAAAAGTCCTCATCAACTGTTGACAACCACAGCATAGGAAAAATATAACAAAATTAAAAAGTAACTATAAAAAATAGAACCAAAAATTGAAATGAAGATGAGTGAGTGAGGGTACCTCAAGACTGTTGACTGAGTTTGAATTATTTTGTTGCATTCTTTCAGTCCTGTGTTTGTACGGCAACAGATCTTGGATGGCCTCATTTAACCTGCGTTCATTATCAACATAAAAATATAGCTACTATGAAACTAAAATATGCTGCAGCTGTCTAATTATTCAAAAAGATTTAGTACATAGCATTGCTTCCTTGAACCACATGTACATCATTCATATCTTTAATCATTTAATTTCAAACTATCTAAAAAGCCCAATTTTTAAAACAATAGACATATTCACAACCTGGTGTTCTCTTTTTTTAGAACATTAATTTCATTGGGACAGCAATAACAGCATTCATTTTTCATCTCCTTCAATTTGTTCTCCAAAAATTCTCTTCTTTCTCTCTCCTGTTCCAACTGTCTTTTCAACATTTCTCTCTATAAAAAAATAAGGATAAATGTTTTAGGTTATTTGAATGCATTAATTCTGCTGATTCATTTTGAGTTAGAAACCAAATTTAAATCATCATAAAATCATCGTGAATTGTCGGATCATACCATACCATTTTGCTTGAGACCAACATGAAAGTTATGGGTGCGCGTTATGGACAAGCACAAATAATTTTTTAGAAATGACATTTTTGGATAGCTGAATAAAATTTTAGCACCAAAGTGGAAATTTATGGTAAAAGTTTTACATTTTATATTCTCACTAATACATTGTATATTATATACCTACTTATATTATATTTGTTATTCACTAAACAAATCAATCAAAACCCAGAAACTGCAGTAACTTAACTACCCCATGAACATAAAATATATCCATTACATTATAGACCAATGATGTTGATCTGTCCAGCAGTTTGAGTAGAAATTTTGTTGGTGTTGGATGAGTTTGAGATGTATGCTGTAGGCTGCTGAAGAGAAACATCCTGTGCCATCGAGCTATCAAAATTTGAGGACATGCAAAGACAGTTATTACAAAGAAAATAACCGTTAAAGTTGGTTGAACATATAAGCAGGTGGAAACATTTGCCGCAGGTTCTGCAATGGACTGAATGAATATTAGGTTTTGTTGATCTTGTTGTTACATACAAGACAGATCCAGGTTTTATGGTCAAGATTTGGCTAGGTACCCGCCCTTAAAAAGAGGCAACAGAAGAAGCAGGTTGGAATGGACTACTCCGGTGGCTAAAACCCATTGGCAGGAGAGAGTGTTGCAACGGTTGCGCCAATCGGCTCCATCGCATGAAGGCCGTTGCACCAGAGTCCTTTGGTCAGGAAAAGAAAGCAATTCTGCAGACATACAAAGCAATCGGTCACTCAACAATAATCGTAAAAGATTGGCTGTCTATGTCGGTGAGCAGCTGCGTCGCAGAAATCCTCTTGCTACCCTACAAATCTGGAAGCCTCAGAATAATCCATGTCATAATATTACAACACAGCCCAGACTTTATCACAACATAAAAGACACCTCCAGTTCAAGATGGTTTCCTACAACACTTCCTGCAGTCATCAATGAAAGCTCTTTGAAAGCTGCCTCCGTTACTCTAGATAGTAACGCCACCAAAGCCGCCACCAAATCACACCTTGCCCAAGTTCTACTCAACGAATGGCCTACACCAACAACTAAAATAGATAAATCTGAAGAAAGTCTACCCAGGGCTCTCAGACAGATGTTAGCCCAACACCAATCTGGCTACAGCATCTTTCTCAGCAGCTACAAAGCAAAAATATACAGTGAACTCAATAACATCTGTCCTTTCTACCATCAGCACCCATCTGTTTAACTGCATCAACAACCCCACTGATCTCAAAATAATAGATTTCTGGTTCAACCCGATAGCGGTGATGAATTGGCTCAGGCCTCACCAGGAGCAACCCAACCACCGAATGCCCGATGCAGTGCAACAACTACCACTATCAATCAATCAATCAATCAATCAATCAATCAATCAATCATCAATCAATCAATCAATCAATCTTCGTTTAACGTCCAGACCCAGTTTCCCCGAGGCAAGACGTAACTACCACTACATTGTAGATAAAAATAGATGATTAGCATGAAGTCGATTGATTGCTCAAGAAATAAACTACCAACCATTGGTTTTTCACTTATGGTTCTTGAAAGTTCCTGTTGAAGTTTAGCAAGACTCAACTTGTCCAGTCGAGCTTGATGTTTGTGTTGAGCAAGCTGGTGAATCAATTCAATGACTTGTTCCTCTAGCTCCTTCATCTCAAAGTTTTCTGATGTTGCAGCCTGCAGTGCAGTTCAAAACAAATTACAAAATGAAATGCAAAAGTATTGTAAATTATACAAAACCGCAAATTAGCCTAAACTGTAATATTCACAACAAACATATTAACAAAGCTAATTGCTACCAAAAATCACCTATTTGGGTTAAACACAAACCTTGAACCTAATTAATGAAAATATCTAAAAGAGAATATGCTGTTTAATGGATAATATTAAAGTAATATTAAAGTAAATACTTTTCAAGAGATAACATAAGAAATAAATATAACTATAAATAAAAATTATATATAAATTAACAATTAAAAATAGAAAATATCTAAACACAATCTGTGACCTGGAAGATTTAATAGAATGTAATAAAAAATAAGAGCAGCACCACCATCACCCAGAGTAAAGACAGGATGGCCAACAATTTCTGAACTGCAATAACAACATAACAAGTAACATCAACAACAACAACATAAAACAACAACAACAACGTCTGACTTGATGGTTAGCGTTTTTTCCGACAACAGAGCCACCGACACCAGGAAATATTTCACAGGTCAGTGACCTCTCATGTTTGTGTGGTGATGAGATAATTGATAACTGAAATCAATTTCAATTAGAAAATTTTATTTTGTCACATATCTATAAAATATTAAAAAAAAATTAGAAATGAAATAAAAAAATAGAATAATTTAAAAAAGGCATAAAAACTTTTTATGAAAATAAAAAACAAAAAGAAGAGACCCAAAACTTGATAATAAAATTCCAACCTTATTTTTTTTAGAACTGGATAAAGATCTACATTTGACAATTTGTTGGCAGTTACTGTCAGTTGCATTACCATTCTTACCACAGGAGCCACCCTTGGTTCTAGCAGCCATTTGATTGTGGTTTGCAGTGGCAAGCACCTCATGGTTCTTTGATGAAGAATTCTTCTTATTGTTGCATGCCAGGCTGCCTTTGTTAACTGCAGTATGATAGCAAGTAGGTGCCTTGCATGAATGTCTTACCTTCTCTCTCTGAAGTTCCAAACTGGTCGACATCATCTCTAAACCTTCTACTCTTCTTGTCTCCCAACTTTTATCAAGACCACTTGGTATTCTTTAGGGGAACATGAGCAGAGGTTATCATGATATAAATTAATTTCTTGCCTAATTAAATATACATGCATGCTATTCCAGTGAAAATTTGTATTGAAGAATTTTTAAAAACCATGATTGTGAGAACCATAATTATTATTTTGTTAAATATTACATTATTAATAAAAATTTTAAATAGAAAAAATAAATAAAGAATACCTTCTGATTTCATTCCAATCTTGATTCAATAACATGTCATGTTTTTGACAAGATTTCATTTAATTATTTATTTCACAATAATTTGAAAAAGTATTTAGGAATTAAAAACAGAAACTGTCACATTCTGTTCACCACAAAGCTGCATCAAAATAAATGAAAAAACTTATGTAAAAAATTATTTAATCTAATCTATTGGGGGATCCTGTACACATGTCTGCTAATCATTAATGCATCCATAAAACCTAAAGAATTTTACTTAAGATTTAAGATTATCATTAAAATGGCATAGCCAAGGTCAGAGTTTTATTTTTATGACAAATTGGTTTTTTTTAATTCTAAATCTATTCTTCAAGCTTTTTCAGCATTTGAGAATTATATTGTGACAACTCTCATAGAATAATATAATATCATTATAAAGAAAGTAAATTATTAAAGTAAATAAATAATTATATAATTAATATTTAATTTCTTTTAATTTTATTTCCTTTTCACCAATTGGCTGAGTGACTTTTTTATTTACTGAGTGACTTATTTCATTAAAACTGTCACTAGATAACAATAGGTTTTAAAGTTTATGAATAAAACGTTGGCTGATTGTGAATATTAGATTAATATTCCCCATCAGCCAACATAATATTCCAATTAGCTAACATAATATCCCATTCAGCCACTATAATATTCCTTTTAGCTACCATAATATCCCAATCAGTCACCATAAATATACATTATCACTTGTCTAAAGTCGACAAACGTTCTATATTCCCTAACTCTGGCACTAACCAACTTATAATTATTACTAAACACAACATCATTAAAAACTTTAAATTATTTATCATTTCATAAAAACATTTAATTTACAATGCTTCTTATTTTTCCAGCTTAAAACTGAAAGTTTGCTATTGAACATTTGCTAGCTTTCCCAAAGTATATTTATATGATCAGCCAAAATATTATTCACAATTAGCCCCCATAATGTCCACATTCTAATCAGTCACCACAACATCCACAATCACAATCAGCCAACATAACATGCAAGTTAACTTACTAATCTAATATATTCATAATCAGCCAACATAATATTCTGTCAACCATTTAATTTATTAATACAATAAGCCCTTCAGCCAACAAAGCCCCTCAAGTCATGTCATACCATAACTTTTTTATTTTAATTTTATTCTTTTACATTTACTTACATTATAATATTTAAATTTAACATTATTACAACACATTATCATTTTACTTAGTAAAATTTACTATTTCACATACATTTTTAATAAGATTTACTTACTCTGACACTGTTGCTAATTTAAAAACAATGCATCTAATTTATTTTACAACATTTTTATTACTAACTTTAATTTAATAAATTTTATATTTACTAACTTATATTTTAATTTCAAAAATTTTGTAGGAAAATAAAACTTCAGAAATGGTCCTAACCATAAATAACCATATAATTATAATATAAATAATTTTAATATAGGCATATATGATACACGTAAAATAAATTACGATCGGTAAATTAATTTTTGTATTAACAAACTAAATAAACGTTGTTCAATCCAAAATTTTAATTTCGACAGTTTTTTACGAGAAGCGAAGTGAAAAAAAACTTCCGAGCGACATTACGAAACTTGGTACGGCAATGGAGAACAAAACACAAAACCAAAGTAGAAACAACAAAAAGGTAAGATCTTTAATAAATTCAGTTTAAAAAATCTTGCTCCATAACTTTGTCATTGAATAATGAAAATGAATTATCTAAATAATTATTAAATATTAAGAGTAAACAGCAGCAATTATCCCCAAATGCGAATGGCATCAGTATTCCAGCTGCCAGGAATAGACTGCCTCTTCACGAGCAAATCCACGAACTTCTTTTTACTTTCTTTAGCGGCCAATCTTTCGATGATATCATTAATGATTAAAGATTTTAACGCATTTCTGTTTAAATATGTTTCTGAAGATGGAAAGAAGTTTTTTCTGCCAGGTAAATCATCATCTATTTCCTCAACATTTCTTTGTAGATCGATGCCGTTGTTCTTATCTGGATATGAAACGGGTGTGGAAAGAACAGCCGGGAGAAGGATCAATCTCGTGTAACACGACACAACGATTATCAGAATTACTGAACTGTATTTTGATAGTTCCATTTCAAAAATGTTATCTTTGCTTTACCGTTCAATCAAACTGTACCGTTACAATTAGAGCAATTCAATATTTCACGTTATGGCAAAATTTTCAGTTCAACACGGATATTTATACTAACCGTACCTGACGATATATATATATATATATACATATATATATATATATATATATATATTGAATGCTGGTAAGATTCATAAATTACTGCATATATATATATATATATTTATATATTTGATATATATATATATATATATATATATATATATATATATATATATATATATTCAAATTCACGAACGACTTATATACAAATAAATGGTCGAGAGGTTAGCTCAGTCGAAGTGCCAAGTCTCATTCAATTACGCGATAGCCTGGTTCGAATACTGTCGGCCCAAGACTCAAAGACTATCATACGTCATGCGCGTAATATGCGGTACTTGCGCGTGCATACATAATGTGCGTGTACGTCATGTGGTGCGGATAGTATGGTCTTGGTGGCACGAAGGTTTGAAAAAGTCGATTCTGCGTATGTCAGAGCTACATAATAAAAATATATATATATATTTTATTTTTCTTTAATCTGAATCTCTGATATACGCATATATATATAATTATATATGTTGGTAGTAGACCATAATTTTTACAATTCTCTATAAATTCTACCAAATGTGTTGGCGTTAATATGTTTGTAGTTCGTTTTTTCGATTTTTCTCACTAAAGTTTTTTCGAGAACATTAAGTTTAATAAAATTCAAAATAAACTTATTTTCCGAATTCATGCTGCAAATAAGGCCATATTTCGATTCCGAATGAATCATCATCAGAGCAAGTTGATTTATATACGGAAATATTTACTTTGTGAAAATGAACTTAGATAGAAATTAGGTGTCAGATTTTTTTATTGGCTCTTTCCATTTTCGTTGGTTTCCTTTTCTTCATCGATAGCATCATATTCTTCTTTGTCAATATTTATAATGCTAAGCCTCCTAGTCAGTGAGGTAGTAGTAATCCCGATATATGAGTCATGTTTTATTGAGAAAAATCGAAAAAACGAACAACAAACATATTAACGCTAAACATTCGGTAGAATTTACAGAATATTGTAAAATATTATATATGTATGTAGTATTGTATGAATTCTACCGAATTGTTGGCATTAATCAATTTAAAGTTTGTCTTTTCAATTTTCAACATGTAAATGTATATATAAAAATGCAATCGAAAAAATTAAAAATTTTATTATTAATTTGTTATAATTATAACTTAGTTTACAAACTC